AAAAAGACAGCATCTTCAACAAATGGTGCTGGTCCAACTGGATGTCCACATGCAGAAAAATGAAAATAGATCTATATTTATCACCCTGCACAAAACTAAAGTCCAAGCGGATCAAAGACCTCAACATAAAACCAGATACTCTAAATCTGTTAGAAGAAAAAGTGGGGACAGCCTAGAACTCATTGGCACAGGAGACAACTTCCTGAACAGAACACCAACAGCACAGGCTCTAAGAGCAACAATCAATAAATGGGACCTCATGAAACTGAAAAGCTTCTGTAAAGCAAAGGACACTGTCATCAAAACAAAACGCCTGCCTACAGAATGGGAAAGAATCTTCACTAACCCTTTATCTGACGGAGGACTAATATCGAGTATATACAAAGAACTAAAGAAGCTGAAAAGCAGCAAACCAAGTAATCCAATTAAAAAATGGGGAACAGAGCTAAACAGAGAATTCTCGAAAGAGGAATATCGAATGGCAGAGAAACACTTAAAGAAATGCTCATCCTCATTAGCCATCAGGGAAATGCAAATCAAAACAACCCTGGATATCACCTTACACCCATCAGAATGGCCAAGATGAAAAACTCAAGGGACAACACATGCTGGAGAGGTTGTGGAGAAAGGGGAACCCTCCTCCACTGCTGGTGGGAATGTAAACTGATACAACCACTCTGGAAATCTATCTGGCGCTTTCTCAGACAACTTGGAATAGCGCTTCCTCAAGACCCAGCTGTACCACTGTTAGGTATATACCCAAAATTTTCTCAAGTACACAAAAGGGATATTTGTTCAACCATGTTTATAGCAGCATTATTTGTAATAGCCAGAACTTGGAAACAACCCAGATGTCCCTCAACGGAGTAATGGGTACAGAAATTGTGGTATTTTTACACAATGGAATACTACTCAGCAATCAAAAAGGAGGAAATCATGAAATTTGCAGGCAAATGGTGGGATCTAGAAAAGATCATCCTGAGTGAAATATCCCAGAAGGAGAAAGACAAACACGGTATATACTCACTTATATAGACCTATAAGATATGATAAACTTAATAAAATCTATACACCTAAAAAAGATAATCAAGAGAGCGGACATGGGGTAAGATGATCAATCCTCGTTTAGAAAGACAGATGGGATGCACATTGAACATATGACAGGAGTCTACTGAGCGCATTTGAAAGACTCTAACTAGCAGTGTTTTCAACGCAAAGACTCATGACCAAACCTTTGGCAGAGTACAGGGAATCATAAACAAGAAGGAGGAGTTAGTCTGATGAGGAAAGGATAGGAGCTCCACAAGGACCAAATATATCTGGGCACAGGGTCTTTTCTGAGACTGACATGCAACCAAGGACCATGTATGAATGTAAGTTAGAACCTCTGCTCAGATGTAGCCTGTGGTAGCTCAGTAACCAATTGGGTTTCCCATAGTGAGGGGAACAAGGACTATTTCTAACAGGAACTCAATGACTGGCTCTTTGGCCTCCCCACCCCCTAAGGGAGGAGCAGTCCTGTTAGGCCACAGAGGAGAGCTTTGCAGCCAGTCCTGAAGATACCTGATAAAACAGGATCAGATGAATGGGGAGGAGGTCCCCCCTATTAGTGGACTTGGCAAGGGGCAAGGTGGAGATGAGGGAGGGAGGGAGGGAAGGACTGGGAGGGAATGAAGGATTGGGACACGGCTGGGATACAGAGGTAATAAAATGTAACTGATAAGAAAAAAAAAATAAAACCCCACTGAGAAAAAATAAATAAATTAAAATAAAAATAAAATAAAAAAAAAATCTAGAAAAAAAATGAGTCTGTAGGCTGTGCTGGCAAATGGATGGAACTAGAAAAGATCATCCTGAGTGAGATAACCCTGAAACAAGTTTCTTTTATTTTATTTATTTATTTATTTATTTATTTATTTATTTATTTATTTATTTATTACAGTTTATTCACTTTGTATCTCAGCTGTAGCCCCTCTTTCATCCGCTCCCAATCCCACCTTCCTTCATCTCCTCCCATGCCCCTATCCTAGTCCACTGATAGGGGAGGTCCTCCTCCCCTTCCCTCTGACCCTATCCTATCAGGTCTCATCAGGACAAGCTACCTCTGTAGCCTAGTAAGGCTGCTCCTTTCTGAGGAGGAGGTGATCAAAGAGCCAGCCACTGAGTTCATGTCAGAGACAGTCATTGTTCCCCTTACTAGGGGCCCACTTGGAGACTGAGCTGTCATGGGTTCTTTTAGGGCAACACCAATCTCTGTCAATGGCAGGAGAAGTCTGTAGTCTCCTCCACCCCTGTGTGCCTGGAGCATTTCTCTCGGTAGTGATGTTTCTGCTTCAAACTACCACAGTGTCTATCTCTGGGCTCTCCAAACTGCTTCCCCACACACACCAACACTTCATGCTACTCTGTCTCAAGCTCTCTAACGCATATCCTGAGAGCCATAGATCATGCCCCTCTACCTCCTGCAGGTGGAAGGTGTTACCAGCTTTCAAAGGCGACGCCCCACATGAGACAATTAGCAGGTGTGGACAAACTATAGCCCAACTAGAACCCCACACTTTGGATTAAAACAAGAACATATCTACATAACAAAACTGAGTTTACAAAGAAACAAAAATTTCCATTACAACTTTATGTGACATTTAAAAACACTTAAATTAGATTGGTTAAGTGTGTGTGTGTGTGTTCTTTATCTTACCCTTACGTCCCAGGGCTAATGTGGAAGTCTGAGGACAACTTGCTCAAATAAGTTCTCTCCTTCCACAGTGTGGGTTGTGGTGAACAAGCCCAAATTGTCAGGCTTGGGGATTCAGGTTATGTTAACTTCTAATTGACAAAGTAGGACGAGCACATGTTGAAAATATTTTCTTTTAAATTAAATCTCCGTGGGAACTAGAGAGATGGATCTATGATTAGGAATAGGCATTACTCTTGCAGAGGACTGGTCCAAACGGTGACAAACAACTGTCTATCATGCTCTGGAACTGCTTCTAACCTCCACCGGCATGTCACAAGTGGTGTGCACACATCTACCCAAGCACACACACACACACACACGATCAAATACATAAATATTTAAACGTTAAAGAGAAAATTAAGTCTTCCTCCACCAGATGTCTATTCAGTGTCTCTCTCCAGAAACCATCATCACCACCACCCTCTTGAGTTTCCTCTTGAATAATTCTCCTACTTGTAAACAAATGAAAGTAGTATGCTGTCTGTCATTTCACAGCTGTGGAAATTTTCAGAAATGAATTCACGGCTTATAGCATAACTCAAAATTCCAAAAATCAAAGAAAAGGTTATAAAATGGGGGCTGGCTTCTCCTGCAATTCATCTAAGGCAACTTTGTTAACGTTCCTGCGAAAACAGCAAGTGCAGCATGTACCACAGGCTGTGTCACACCTGCTATTCAACTGGAAAGGTAAACAGCAGGTCGAATTGATCTTGAAATAATGCCCCCCTATTTTTTTTTCATTTTTTATTATTTTTTTACACTTTATTCATTTTGTATCCCCCCATAAGCCCCTCCCTCCCCCCTACCGATCCCACCCTCCCTCCTCCTTCTTCATGCATGCCCCTCCCCAAGTCCACTGATAAGGGAGGTCCTCCTCTCCTTCCATCTGATCTTAGTCTATCAGATCACATCTGGAGTGGCTGCATTGTCATCTTCTGTGGCCTGGTAAGACTGCTCTCCCCTCAGGGGGAGGTGATCAAAGAGCAGGCCAATCAGATTATGTCACAGGCAGTCCCTCTTCTCATTACTATGCAACCACACTTTTCTTCTGAAATGGCATATGAACCTTGGTTCAAGGATCTCTTAAAGAGACAAGGAAAAGGCAGAAGATCCTTATGTACCATAGTTCTATATCCTAACTAACACCCAACCTGACACAAGGCTTGATCTCTGGCAGAACAGATGTAAAAATGAAACTTTCCTTTAACCCCTCCAAGTAAATCAATAGAACATTTCCCTTTCCTGATAAACAAATTTGGTCTTTGACCTCCATAGCCAGATCTGGCCCCACTTACTCTTTAGGATGGTTATAGCATGAGCTGTTTGATGGCTATCAGCTGTCATAAAACAAATAGTATTTCATGACAGATCGTCATATAACACAGGTATGTCCAAAGTCAGGGTAACAGTATCTCTACCCCAGGCATGGCTGCAGTGTGCAATACAGCAGGTAAAGAGACAATGCTTCTCTGTGAGTGCGGTGCAGCTGTGACAACTGAAATTGCACACCGCACCACCTATGAAAGTGCTCGCTGTGAGAATGTCAAAAGGCTGTCAGTGAACACAAGTGCTTTTAGAATTTCTCCTATGTGTATGATATTTTTGTATTTAACAACAATATAAACATAAATAGTTCACAAAGCAAAAGGTAGCTTAATGATATATCTGCAAACATCCAAGCCTGAATATATGAACATCTCTAGAAGAGCCAAGAAGCTCTGTGTTCAGTTTTCTAGAGAAAATAAAATAAAAGCCTAACAATATATTGAACAAATTTAAATAAAGCACAATCTCTGTAATTAAGTAAGATTACCAAAAGGTTTTTTTTAAATTCCTGTAAATGTTAAACATTTTCAAGTGATCACACACATACACACACTTCAGTCTTTAAATTAAAATAGATTTCAACATCTCTTGTTTACTTATGTTTAATGAACTGTAACACAGGGAGATATTGTAGCAAATATAGTATTAAAATGTTTTGGTACTTAATAGTTCAAAAATTGTTGTTATTTAATTGGGACCAACTGGCTTCATTGCATCTTATAAACTTTGCAATATATATTCAGAATAAAAGAAATAAAACTGAACAGATGTTTCTCCTTAAAGAAGGCAGACTAAAATTTTTCTTACACAATAAATCAGCTGCTAGTATTTTTCTAGGACATTGCTTGAGGCTGTTTTCTTATAAAATTTTTAGCACACACATACACATGCACACTCACACAAACACACATACACACAATCACAGAGTCACACTTACCTCTGTGTGAATCCAAAATTGGTAGAGGAGATTGAATTGGATATGAACAGCAAACACTGAAGGTGGTATGAAGAGGGCGAGGGGACAGTAGAAAATCTTTAAGAGAAAAAAAAAATCTGCATCACTTTATACTCATGATCCCTCAACAGAAGCTTCACTAATGGCCCTTCTTCCTTCTTCATCAGACATAATATAAATATATAATCATTTTAACTTGGCAACATTATTTTTTCACATAGTGATAGATTTACATACATTACTCTTCTTTTGGGCAGTTAATGTGTTTTGATTAAAATATTACATGCTGTTAGTTAGTTCCTTACTACTGAAATATCAGATGTGTTTTCTGTATGCAAACTCATTGCTTTTAATGCGCAAGTACTTAACTGAAGCAAAATTGAAAAGCATGTGTCTTTATACCTTGACCACTCCCAAAGGCTCGGTTATTGCCTGGTGTTTCCAATAATAAAATGCAATCACAATAAAAGAAAATGTGTGACATACTGGAAGAGTTTATGTAGAGTAGAATATGTTTTCTATTTTAATGTTTATATGATTGATTAAAGGTAAAATACATCTTAAATTTTTATCAAAGTTATTAAGGTAGAGGGTAATGTGAAGACAGTGGAAATAAGTCTTTCGGGTCCAGATTTCCCTAGAGATGTAAATATCTATGCCTTGGAAAACAAACTTCTCCTTTTTCTCTCTCTTTTAAAAATTATCTATTTTTTATTAATTACAATTAATTCACTTTGTATCCCAGCTCTAGCCCCCTCCCTCATTTCCTTCCAATCCCACCTTCCCTCCCTCTTCTCCGCCTATGGCCCTTCCTCAGTCCGCAAACACTACTATAACAAAAATCAAAATCCAAAGATCTAACAGCCACTGATCATTAATCTCTCTCAACATCAATGGACTCAATTCTCAAATAAAAAGATACAGACTAACAGAATGGATGCATAAACAAGACCCAACAATCTGTTGCATACAAGAAACATATCAAAATCACAAAGATAGACAAACTTCTTTTTAAACCTCAGAACTGCTTAGAATTGACTAACACGTGTGGTTTGTTGTGATCTCCCAACAGCTTATTCTTGAGAGAAGTTTTGAGTGGTCGCAATCATTTCTTCGAAAGAAAATCCAAAGACCCAAATAGGTATCAGAAGAAGCTCATTTTTGTTTTACATTTCTGATATTATGTTATGCATATTTCTATAATGCTGTATTTTATAACATTTCTTCTGTATGTTACAACTTAATTTCTGAATTATTACAAAGCTTTTGCATTTATAGTTACATTTGCAAGGTAAAGAAACAAATCCCAGGCCTCAGTGGCATGGTGGTGCTTCATCTCCTTCTCTTCCATCTCCAAACTGGTTATCCAATTGTCTACATCCTTCATGAATAATTTAACTGGGTCTTCTATCATAAATCTTTAAATGTACTTAAATTTGACTGACAAAAAGAATTTTCCTTATACTTTGTTAGTGTCTGGGACAGCATTGTGCCTACTTACTGAATAAGTTAGTTTCTACTTAACACTCACATCAGTGCCATTCCGATTCCACAGCTCTTTAGCTTTACATAACACTGTTTACATTAGGTTACTTATTCTATGAGAGAATTAATATAAACCAGAGCCATTCTTGAACTCTAAGTGTGAGAGAAACAGTGAGGATAAGACAAAACATAATCTCAGTCCAGTAGAGACAGAGTGTCATTTAACCTACCACAAGGCAGCAGCAGAATGGCGCTTCGGTGCTGGCATCCTGAAGCAATAGACAGGTGGCATATGGGGATTATATTTATCTTGACATTGTTGCACTGTCAGAAGTAGTGCTATAAAGGGCTAGACTGTGGTAGGCTTGGATGATCTTAGGAAGACCAGGAAGCAGGCTACAGGTGTAACAGAGTATGCTCCAGAGAGGCCATGCATTTCCTAAAGAAATAATGGATCACTTCCATTTATCAGAGTCTTCAATGTGACTATGACTTGGTATAGAAAAAAAATTGTAGAATTGATGAAGAAATGAAAAAGTTTAGTGGCCACATGAGTGATGGAAACATTGTAATATCATTCTAAGGAAGCTGGTCAGAAAGTAAAGTGTGATATCCACGTTTAAATATGTCCAAGGGAGAAAATGAGAGGAGTAATGTGGTCAATTTAAAGACTAAACTAAAGAGAGATGAATGTTTTCTTTAAAAGTAGAGTAAAAGTCCATGTTCACCTCTGACATCACGTCTTAACTGAAGAAGTGAAAGGGGATAGAAAGAGAAAGTACATGACAAGAAGCTGACATTTCTCTCCAGTCTTTAAAGCTCATGGGGTCTCAGTGTAAGAGCTTGAAGGAACTGAACTTCTAGGAGCGTTTCAGCAGGACAGAGAGCAGAAGCCGAAGAGATTTTGTGTTCATTTTATGGCTCACTGAGCATGTAGAGAGCTTTCCTATATCTGGCAGCCATGGCTGAAGTAGGGGACCACACACACACCAGAGCCAGTCTCAGGACTCCCAGCATGCAATGCATGGTGGCGGGTGTGCAGAGTGTGGATGGAGGAATCATTCTTTCATGCCCTGATGATTTCAAAATGGACGACAATGGTACACGCTGGCAGGTTTGCCACTCATGAGAATGAAAAACTAGAGACTGCCTGTGGTTATAGGCCCAGGCAGAGCTGGGAAGAAAACCAGGGCTTGGAGGACAGTTGGCTACTAGTAAACTGCTAAGCCAGATAGTTAAACTTGAAGTGTGTCATTACTTTATCATTTATTACTGCCATTTTGTTTTGTATGTTTTGGTAGTTTTCCTTCATGTATGTCTTTTCACAACATATGTACATTACCCATGAATAAAGAAAAGGGCCTTGGGTCTTCTGGAACTGGCTTTACAGGTGGTAATAAGCTGGGATGTGGTTGCTAGGAATGAAAATCCAGTCCTCTAGAAGAGCAATCGGCACTATTAACCACTGATCAATCTCATCAGCCCCATATATAACTACTTTAACAGAAAACAAACAAATGAACACACAATACCTTCAGGATCCATTGTGCTTTTAAGTATTCTAAGTAGTTTACTTCTTAGACATCTGTTCTCCTAGAAGTCTCAAGTTTTATAATATTACAGAAAAAGCTTGTTTTTTTTTTTTTCTTCAGAAGACACTAGAAATCAATGAATCAAGTAGTGTGTCTATTTTCCTTGTGTTTATGATAACAGAAAAAGGGAAATCCTCTATTACAGGTACAGAGAACTAATAAGTTTCTTTAAAACATACTCCTCCAGTGAGATGCCACAAACCTGTGCCGTAGCAAATAGAATATTGTGGCAGGCAGATGGATAGAGGTTCCAAGGCCAACCTTAGCTACTTAACATGATTCTGTATCACATAACATTTTATGCTGGAAGAAATATTTTGACAGCATGGGTACAAGGTTTTTGTATAATTTAAATGCTGCTTTTTGTACCCCAGTGCTATATCTAGTTGCCATCCTTGTTCTGAGATGATCCTGTCTCAATGTCATGTAAACACTTCTCCCCAGTTGTTCCCAGATATGCCAATAAAGCAGCTTACAGCCAATCACTGAGCAGGGGAAAGAATTGGGATGGACTTCCTGCCAACCAGGAGACTGGGAATTAGACAGGGAAGTGGGGAATTTAGCCACAGAGTAGGTCCAAGAGACATCATGAGAAGCAGCTGGAGCAGCGAAACTACAAACTGCAAGTATCTCTGGGATGCATGCTGGGAGGAAGCCAGATTAGCATAGAGAGTTAAGAATAGAGTTATTACTGCTCAGTTCTTATGTCATGAAGCTTATAAAATAAATATAAAAGTCTCAATTATTTCTGTGATATATGGTTTAAGAGGGAAACTAAGAAACAAACACAATTTTATAAAAATAACTTAACAGGACAGTGCCAAGAAGCTCAATATTCTTCATGTAACCTAGGCCTGCCTTTCTGTTTCTCTATCTTTGGTCCTGTCCTATTTTGTTTTATTCCTCACACCTTCTCATGCATACCACATTTTAAGCATAATCATACTCTGATAGATTGAATGGTATCCTCCCCAAAAGAACATGTAATGGTCTGGCATTTGTTCCTCACCACCTGAGCTTTTCTGAAAATATTATTTTTCCAGATAGTATCAAGTAAAAAGGAATTAATTATCGTGGGCTCAATTCAATAGAACTGATGTTCTCACAAGATCAAAAGCAGTTACCAAAAGCAGACATGCATGCAGGAAATCTGGATAAAGAAAAGGTAGAGGGGGCTGTGTCTACCCATATGGAGTGCGGTTCCCAGCAAACTAACAGGAGTTTAGCTAGAAATGGAGTTCAGGGTTTGCAGGGAAGAAACTACACCTGGATTAGCTGACTTTACACTGGAAGATTCAAGGAAAACAAGGAAATCCTTTCCATTATAAGCCAGCAATCTCTCGTACTTTTTCAGATGCCACAGGAAACTAAATGTTTTTTTAACATATTTAACATCATTTGCTATTTCCTCTCTAAAATTATTGTATTTTCCCCACAATTTTATGCTTTTCTGCATATTTTGCTTCTATGTAATATTCTGTTTACAATCTTGTCCTCAGCCAGTTTTAATATTCTTTCAAGTTAGAAGAAGAATTACCTCCTCCATGAAGGCTCCCTTGATCCAGCAACATTCACAGTTCATGCCAATTTCTAACCATAGCTATTATTTGCCAGAGTCCTTCCTACCCAAACAAACCACCTAGGAATACAAGCTTGCTTTATTATGACTTCCTGCCAACCTTTGCCAGCACGCCAGGGACTGCCAGAGAATGTTGGTTGGTGGTGGTGAAGGATGTCTCTGAGTTGAGACAGGTGCTGAGTGTAGTTTTATCTCTTTACTTCATGGGGGTGCAAGAAAGCTTTCCAACTGTGGTAATGAGTCATAATAGATCGTAGTCTGGTGAATTTGAACATGGTACATCAAAATTGTTAGCTTCTTGTCTTTATTTGTTCACATTTATGTAACTACAGCTCTGGCAATTGAAAAGAACAGTTCTTGCTTATGTACATGGTTAGAAAGTATGACATACTAAAAAGATGCCTGCATTGTTTTATGCAGTA